GCAGCCTGCGGCCGCAACCACACCCTGGCGCTTACAGGTACCGAGATGGGGAGGGGGGAAAAACCCCTTTGGGGCAAATTGCCTGAATTCGGCTCTTTTTGCCCCAAAACGCCACTTTTTGTTTGGTTTTGGGGTTTTTTTTGCGTTGCAGAGAGCGGCTCGCAGCTGGGGCTGGGGAACCAGACGGACGCCGTGCCCAGCCCCACGCAGGTATCGCCGCCCCCTTCCCTCCTTCCCCTCCTGCTTTTGGGGCGAAAACCCGGCAGATTCGGGGGGCTCTCACGGAAACAAACTCCCGAGCGGCGCCCGAGCCCCCGTAGGACGCAAGCGCATCCCTCTCCGAGGGGGATTCACTTGCAGCTGCGGTGGGGAAATAAAACGCGAGACTTTAAGATTAATCCCCCGAGTTGAGGATTCGGGGGTTTCCCCTGGGAAGTGCCGCTTTTTGCCTTGTTCCTCAGATTTTTTTACCCCCTTTTTCTGCTGCTCCCGCAGATCATGTACAACGGGCAGCCCATCACCAAGCTGGCCTGCGGCGCCGAGTTCAGCATGATCATGGATTGCAAAGGAAACCTCTACTCCTTTGGGTGCCCCGAGTACGGGCAGCTGGGTACGGTGCTGTTTGGGGGTGATCTCCTGAAATTTTGAGCCATTAGGGGGCTGGGGGAAAAAAGGTTCCCTGCCTCAGTTTCCCCATCTGGGCAGCCAAAGCATCCCTCCCCTTTACCTCCAGCAAAAATAGCAGGGTGGGGGCTGCAAGTAAAAAGGGGGTTGCGGGAGGAGAGGGGATTTCTGCTGGCTTGGAAATGATGGGGTGCGGGGGGGGGACACCCCGTTTTCATCCCGGGTTTAAGGTCGAGATTTGCAGCGTGGGTTTAAGGATGAAGTTTTGCGGCGTGCGTGTAAGCGTAGAGCTTTGCAGCGCGCGTTTCTGGATGGAGATTTGCGTTGGGCGTGTGAGGATAACTTCTCGCAGCGCGCGTTCCAGGGTCGAGGTTTGCAGCGCGCGTTTTCGGATAGAGATTTGCTCGTCCGCAGGGCATAACTCGGATGGGAAATTCATCGCCCGGGCGCAGCGGATAGAGTACGACTGCGAGCTGGTGCCGCGCCGCGTGGCCATCTTCATCGAGAAGACCAAAGATGGGCAGATCCTGCCGGTCCCCAACGTGGTGGTGCGGGACGTGGCCTGCGGGGCCAACCACACGGTAGGCAGGGGTACCGGCAGCACGCGTTCAGCCGTGCATCCCTGTAACGGGCGGTCATTTATAAAGATGCGCAGCCTGCGTTTGTGGGCGAAGGCTTGCGGGAGGGTGTAAGGATGAAGATTTGCAGCGTGCGTTTAAGGCGAAACGTTTGCAGGGTGCATGCAAGGATAAATGCGGGATGCTTTTGGGGCTGGAGACGCCTTGGTCTCTGAGAGATGGAGCGTCCGTTTGGGGATAGGTACAGCACGCCTGTAAGGACGGAGGTTTGCGGTGTGCCTGTAAGGGCAAAGATCTGCAGGGTGCGTTTAAGGGTCAAGTTTTGCAGCGTGTGTGTAAGGATAAACATTTGCAGCCTGTGTATAAGGATAAAGTTTTGCAGCATGCATTTAAGGATAAACATTTGCAGCGTGTGTTTAAGGCTCAAGATTTGCAGCATGTGTTTAAGGATAAAGTTTTGCGGCATGTGTATAAGGATAAACATTTGCAGCGTGCATTTAAGGGTCGAGATTTGCAGCATGCATTTAAGGATAAAGTTTTGCAGCATGCATGTCAGGATGAATACTTGCAGCGTGCGTTTAAGGATGAATACTTGCAGCGTGCGTTTAAGGATGAATACTTGCAGCGTGCGTTTAAGGATGAATACTTGCAGCGTGCGTTTAAGGATGAATACTTGCAGCGTGCGTTTAAGGCTAAAGATTTGCAGCCTGCACTTAAGGATAAATTCTTGCAGCCTGCGTTTAAGGATAAATATTTGCAGGGTGCATTTAAGGCTGAAGATGCGCTGAGTACCTTTAAGGACAGGTTTGCAGGGTGCATTTAAGGATAAATATTTGCAGGGTGCATTCGGCGTTTGCAACACGCGCTGCAGTCGATGCCGGTTATTGTGGCTGCTGCGGCGTTCCCTGCACTGAGCCGGTCGGGTCTCAGCTGCTCGTGGCGGGGGGGGGACACCCACCCGTTTCTCCATCCCCAGCTGGTGCTGGACTCGCAGAAGCGCGTTTTCTCCTGGG